TAAAAGTTTGAATTCCAAAAAATATTTGTATCACTCTTCAAAAGAAATCTATTTGCTAATACAAATTTTTTATTTTAAAATATAACTTATACTTATATAATAACCATTGAATAGATAGTAAATATTAGTTATACCTATAAAGGAATTGCTATAAAATGTGTAATTATTTGAAAATTCTCGGTACTTTCTGAACATTTAATACTTACTCATCTATCTACTTATTCTACCTATATTAAGATTCTTACGACTTGTTATTATAACAATAACATTAAATATTTATACACGCATATGTAAATCAATGGAATTTTAGTTATATATATTTTAATCGCCAAAAACAGTACTTAATATGATGGTTAGACAGAATATTTTGTATACATGAGTATTTCGTGTGCACGTACCTACACTGTGATTACTCACACCAAACACACATCGTATTATAAATGCATCACTTTCAGTTGATATAATTTACGTTTATAATGTAAGTAGCAATTGAAATAGTGGGTAACAAAAGCTGTAGGTGACTGCTTCGGGCTTACGCCTCTGCGTCCTCGTCGTCGTCATCTCCCTCGCCTTCCTCGTCGATAGTCGCGTCCTGATACTGTTGATATTCGGACACCAGGTCGTTCATGTTGGATTCCGCCTCAGTGAACTCCATCTCGTCCATGCCCTCGCCAGTGTACCAGTGCAAGAACGCCTTACGTCGGAACATGGATGTAAACTGCTCGGACACACGTTTGAACATTTCTTGTATGGCTGTCGTGTTGCCGATGAACGTGGCTGACATTTTTAGGCCCCTGGGTGGTATGTCGCACACTGCGGTCTTCGTGTTATTGGGTATCCATTCGACGAAATAACTGGAGTTCTTTGTTTGCACGTTAAGCATCTGCTCGTCCACCTCTTTCATGGACATGCGGCCACGAAATATGCTGGCGGCTGTCAAATACCGGCCGTGGCGCGGGTCGCACGCGGCCATCATGTTTTTAGCGTCGAACATCTGCTGCACCAGTTCCGGGACTGTCAAAGCACGGTACTGCTGGCTGCCGCGAGATGTGAGCGGCGCGAACCCGGTGATAAAGAAGTGCAGACGTGGGAACGGCACCATGTTGACAGCCAGTTTTCGGAGGTCGGAATTAAGCTGCCCAGGGAACCGGAAGCACGTAGTCACGCCGCATATGGCCGCCGACACCAAATGGTTCAGGTCACCGTAAGTTGGAGTGGTGAGCTTTAGAGTCCGGAAACATATGTCGTACAGCGCTTCGTTGTCGATGCAAAACGTTTTGTCGGTGTTCTCGACCAGCTGATGCACGGATAACGTAGAATTGTACGGTTCCACTACGGTGTCTGATACCTGCGCACGAAAATCGTAGTCGAATGCACAATAAAATAATAATTATAAATTATTATGATTAGATAGATAGATTTGCCAGCGCGAGTTAATACGCTCAATTACATACAACGACAGTTGCGTAATTAGGACTACTGTAAAAGAAAAGTCAACGTGGCAGGGCCGATGTACCAGCTTAACTATAGAATCTATTTCCAGTTAAATAATTGAAATATACATACATAAACACCTATCATACGTCTCTAATTATTAAATCTAGTAACTTTTATACGTATATAATTGTCAATGCATTATTATACTCGTCAATAAATTGTTATTTAACAGAAAAACCAATTAATGTCTTATTATATTTATTTTATGTTAATATTTTTAACAGTGGATTAGTTTCAAATAATATATATGCTTTACATACGTAAAAGTAAACACTAGGTAATAATTAATTTTAATTTAATATGCTTACATTTCAAATGATAATTTAAATAAATGTAATATACTTTAAATATTTTTCTAAAAAAAAATATAAAATATAAATATAAATATTTCAAGAATTTAGTTTTAATTATAATACATTGTTTTATACCTTGGGTGACGGAACAATACTGTATGTTGTCATGATACGGTCCGGATACTCTTCTCGAATCTTAGATATCAAAAGTGTACCCATTCCGGAACCAGTTCCACCGCCCAATGAATGAGTCAGCTGAAATCCTTGTAGGCAATCGCAACTTTCTGCTTCTTTCCTGAAACACATTTTTTAATGATTTCACATAAAACCCGGTTAAATAAAATTCTTCATATATTTAAGTACCTAACGACGTCTAAGACCGAATCCACTAACTCGGCACCTTCCGTATAATGTCCTTTGGCCCAATTATTGCCTGCCCCAGATTGTCCAAAAACAAAGTTATCCGGTCGAAATATTTGACCAAAAGGACCCGATCTCACCGAATCCATAGTACCCGGTTCCAAATCCACAAGAATTGCTCGAGGTACATATTTACCACCTAATATTTCGTAAGCAAAATAAAATATATATATATTTTTTTTAATTATTACTTAGTACGCACTATAGGTACATATAATAACTATTATTTATTATTTATAATAGATAATTAAATCATAAAATAATACAGTATTACAGTGTAACTAATAACTAGAGATCCTATGATTAATTAATTTACCAAGCGCTTCAGTATAATAAACGTTGATTCGTTCTAGTTGTAGATCAGAATCCCCATGATATGATCCGGTCGGATCAATGCCGTGTTCATCGGATATAACTTCCCAAAACTAAACAATTTATAATAAATATATAATATTTAATTGTAGGTATACATTTATAAATAGTGGGGACCTATATTTAAAAGTATCAAAAATTTTAGAAATTCCGTCTAGAATGTAGATATTCATTTATATTACCTTGGCGCCTATTTGATTTCCACATTGACCTGCTTGCAAATGGCAAATTTCACGCATAGTTATTAATGTTATTATACACCGCTAATCGAATTAAATTTATAAGCAAAAATATATCATGGGAAAGCCGAAAAAATGTAAGTAAATTCATCAAACGTATATACACTACTACACTAACAAACAAAACGTAGAGACCGAATAGAATAACTAAATTCTCGTATACCAAAATGGCCAGCTATACATGAATGACAGTCGATCGTATGAAAACCATCGATGATGTTTGTTTCCAAAGACGCTTAATATTTATATTATAACCAGTGGGATATTTTCAAAATTTGAATTAATTGTAAGATATGCCAATGTAAATTTATAATTCGTCTTAGTGCACCTACACGTATTTTATCATAAAAATATTCAACTTGAATTTTAATATTTTATTTAAATTACCATCGAAACTTTTGACAGGTATATTTTTATATTCTGTACCTATAGCTGGTCATTTTCTTATTTATTGTATCAATAAATAATTTATTTACATTCAATTCGTATACTTTTTATTTTAAGAAATAAATACCAACATAGTGACATAGTAATGTACTTCAATCCTGGATAAACGTATAAGAGTTTAGGGGGGTTCCAAGTTAATAGAGTTATTTTTTCTTGTAATAATTCAAATTATCAAAATGTATTACCTATTTTATAAAAATATTATTACATATAATTTATTCATAGAAATATCACATTGTACGGGTGAATGGGCAATTTTTAGTTTACTACAAAATTCTTAAAAAAATCCCTACATAGAAAAAAAATCAATTGTTCCGCTCATAAATGTATACATGAATATTGATAAATTAAATGCAAAATTTTATATGTATATTAATATCAAAACAAATTTTAGAATATTATCAATTTAAACTACATTTTCAAACAATTATAATTTGTTTTTATTATTATTTATTATTAATAGCCACTAGTATTAAAACTATTTGATGGCTCAACTGCAATTACAAAAAAACATATATTATTCAATACTCAATAATAGACTTTTAACTTTTAATATGTTAAATCATATAATACATATTTTATTATTTCTTGAAAATTAAATTTATTATTCAAACTACAGAATATTATTTTCAATTTTGATGGGGTTAAAGCCGACAAAAAATCAACATTTTACGTGCAGTTCATTGTATATACCTATAATCAGTGATGTGTTGCTAAAATAAGCTGTGGGTATTCGCCTTATTTACATATAGATGTATACAGAGAAGAGATTCAGGTAGGATCCAAAAAAAATTTTCTCAGTCCGCTCGAACTATAACTTTTATTTCTCTTAACAATTTACTACATTAAAAAACAACAAATTATTTTATCAACTAATATTAATTTCAAAATATTACAAATATTTTACATTTTAAGCTAAACATTTTAAATGCAATCTTTTTATACACATTGCAATCATATCGTGATACTACAAAAAAAAAAAAGTATTATGCAATCGACTATTGAGATATCGTTGTTATAAGTTTATTGATGTATTATATTTATCTACGTACAACCGTGATATGATACTTGATATTATATTATTTAAAATTGTTATAGAGAATACACGGCAGATACGGCCGTATACCCGCGTATCATTAATTTGACATGAGCTATACACCATGGACACAAATAAATACGACGTATACCTTCGTATACCGTATACCCCCTCCCTCTAAATAAACCACTGCCTATAATCTATACCGCTTATACATCGATGAGTAAGCGCTTATAAGCCGTGAGTCTCTAGCTCATATTTTTAGGCTCATATGGACAATTCATGTGGCATGATCCAGAGTCAGTACGCCCACACAAGTTTATAGTAATTTTAACACCAAATAGAAATGCATTAAATGTAATTTATAGAGAAGTTTTATAATAAAATTTTTGCAATATAAATTATTATTTTATATTATATACCTAGGTATCTATCGAAATTTCGCGGGCAAAACCGCGGCGAGTAACTGGCTATATAGTAGATAATTATAATAATATTGTATTTATAACTATATATATGCATCTAATAATAATTTAAGTGTTGCTAGGCAGAAAGCAAATGATTGAGTTTTTAATCGCGTTAGTTAGTTGTACCTAATTATCTATATAGTAATATTTTACGGACATAATTTTCACGCACCATTTTCTCGATTTTAAATATTTTCAAGTATAATTCGATCACCTATACACATTCCCTATGACAAGGAACAAGTCTTCGGTGCCAACAGACGGCAACGATCGTGAAGACGATCGTCACAATACAGTAGACAATCCGACAGACGCGTTAGTAGGCGGTTCACGGACTAATGCGAGCATCGGCGGCGTTGTCGAAATGAAACGAGGCCGTCGGTCGCGCAGCCGCCGATCTAAGCGTAGGTCCAGGAAGTCGCGGAGTGGTCGCAGGCGGTCGAGCGGAACCAGAGGCGCGGACGAAGACGAGCAGGACAGTGGGGAGGAGGACTTGTCGGATTATACCGACCAGGATCAGGACGACTACGATGACGACGCGTCCATGGACGCCGACGATGAAACTGCCGATGCGTCCGGCCATAGGAGAAGAAGGGGTAGGAGGAGTAGAAGCCGGAAAGGTAGACGGTCGTCGTCTAAGAGAAGAAGACGAAGGAGGATCAGTGGCCGACGACGTCAGGCTGCGGGTGACAACGATGAGAACGCTGCGGTCGTAGATATGCAAGACCTCGCATCGTCGTCCGACGACGTCGAAATCACGAACGCTCGGAGAGGCCGTCGACGCCGTCGCCGCAGTAATCGGAGGAGAAGGAGGTCCTCGGGTGGGCGAACGATGCGCAGGCAGAGAAGAGTCCTCGCCGAAGAGTGTGGCGAGTCCACTGACGGCGAATTAAGTTTATCCGATGACGCAACGCCATCGAACGACTTATTGATATCTACTAACCGCGGCGCTTCGAGTTCCCGAAAATCTCGACGCCGTTCTGATGGAAAATCACAAAAGTCCTGATGTAGTCATCCGTTTGACAATATTGTTTTTTCACCACGACAATATCATAAATAATGTTTTTATAAGAATAAAAAAAATTACGAACATATTTTTACTCAAATCGATTTTGTTCTTACATCAAACCGATTAAATATACATGCACGTTCACCTCTTTGTATGCGGACGTTGGTGAATATACGAATTACGTAGATACCTAACTATGTGTGAAAATCGTGAGATCAATGTTCATTGTTAAAAAATAAATTTTAGATTCAGATTGGTTTTAGAATTATATTTTTTTTTTTTTTTAGATACAAACTAATTTTATTTTTTGCCGATTTCAACCTCTTAAAATTAAAATGTTGAAAAATTCTTTCTTAGTACCTACTTGATGAAATTATAATTTTAATCGACTCTCAAAATTTCAAATCGATAGCTCTAATAGGCTCGGCTCTGCATTGATAATGGACCAGTAACTCAGATTCAGGACAGTCTTGTTTTTGATACAGATATTTGTTATTTTTAAATAATTCGAATAGTAATTATTATGTTTTATTGAATAAAAATAATGCTAAAAATTATGGCCCAGTTGAGAATGATTTAAAATTTCGATTTATACACTCCGAAATTTTACAAATATGTAGGTATTTATTAGATACCTACAAGTTATTTTACATGATTTATTGAAAACTTAACTCGTTCTCAATCAGCTATCAGTCAATTTTGAAATTAGATAAAAACTTAATGTTACAGAATTATTTTAAAAAAAAAATGTAACTCAAACTTTAAATAGAAGCTGGAAGGTTTACAATTCCAAAAAAGGTAAAAGTTGGTTATCCTATACCTGCCGCTCTGCTATACAATAACATTCAACAGCGTATCTTGTCATTGAGTAGGTCACTTAGTCACTGTAATGATCGTTAAATTTAAACTCAATGATAAATCATTAGCATATCATAAAAACGATTCTGAGCAGAGACAGTCTGTCGACCTATTATCATATGACTATGCACTATGCACATTGCTATTAATTATTTTAATGATGTATTGTAATATTAGTATCTAATACGGTAGGTTTATAAAGTATAAATAGGCAATAGCATAAAATTAATCTAAACGTTTTGAAAAAAATGTCATTGTCTATAAAAAATATAATTAAATGTAAAGTTTAAAATTTCTACAAAAAATATTTTTGAACTACAAAAAAATAATTAAAATCATTATATTATTTTGTTTAAATAAAAATGTTATCATAATTAAAATTTTAAATTATCATAAAAAAAAGTAGTAGGTACTTATACATTAAATTTAATACTTTTAAATGACTATAATAAAAAATAAAGTGGACATTTTTATTAAATTTTCAAATTGATTTTTTTTTTATTAATTTGTTGTAAATAATGATAATTTTATACCAAACATAAGTGTAACGTTTTATGTCATTTTAACAATACCTGAATCAGTCCCATCAAATGAATCAAACTTTTATAATACCTCTTCCTCACCTACAAAATTAACTATTTAATGGGGTTGTATAAATTAGATTTGTCAGTTGTCTGTTGGGTAGAAAACGACCTAAAGCCAGCCATGATAGTACATAAATATAATATAGGTACATGTAAAAAAACTAACAAAAATAATGCTGTCAAATTTTTGATGAGATTATTATAAGTCTGGATTAGTCGTAGTTATAGAAAATAGACAATGAAAAATAAACCAAATTAATTAAAATTAATAAATTTACAATTTATAGAAAACTACTAAAAATTTAATAACTCTTAGAATTATAATTATAATTTACGTAAAATATAGATAATCATGTACCTATTGAAATTTTAAAAAAATGGTATTTTTAAACTTTCATAGTAGATTGTTAGAAAAATAATAAGAGATTAGAAAAGCTAGAAACATATTTTTGTCTAATTAATTTCTTTTTAATGTAAACACTACACATATCAGTTACTTAGTAAAGTTTATGCATAATATTATTGTACTCGACAATAAGCTGAATAAGCATAAACAAATTAATATATTAACTTGATTACCAAGTATAGAATAAAATTTGGAGCTCTTATAATGCTGGCTACTGACATTAAATTGGCATCACAATTATAATTTGATACTAGTTTATCTACCAACATTAAATTATACAAAAACTTTAAATTAATATCTAATACAAATAATATTTACACTTAATCACTAATCTATTATGATAAATTCATTTTTTTATAGTTTACCTGTATCAGTGAATAAACTTTTATCTTCACAATAACTTAGCTTACAGAAACAATCAGTTCATCATTATATGATATTTATATTATATTTGAATAAAGCATGAATATATTTATTGTTTTTTGTATTTATATTTAAATGAACAAAATGTAATTGTGCGTATAACATACAGAGATCTAGTCGATCTAGATGTATACATCAGTACTGTTTTGTTGGTGATACATATAAAATAATTTAAATTTGAAACATTATTTTAAATTAAAAAGTATGAAAATATTTATAATAAAACAATGTTATACAAATCCTCTAACCTTTGGTGACATATACAAGATAATTTACTTTGGTCTATGTTTAATATATTATAAGTTATTTTATAAATTTTCCAAACGCCATTGAGTAAAGTAAAAATATCAAAAAAAAAACTTTTTAATTTTCCATTTGCATTATACAAATATTAAAAATTAATTAATTTTAATAAATGTATTAGTTAATTTGTAAAAATTATACAAATTTTATTGAAAAATTTCAGATAATACTGTCAGACTTAATTTTACTGTAAAACAGTAATTACATAGGAATAGTACCGTATGAGATATAGCTAAATTATACTAGTTAAAACATTTATCATCCTAAATTCCATACACAAAATACAGTTACTTTAAAATGTACTAAATAAATAAATTAATAATATCATCCGTTTATTAAAATATGTATTACCTAATGATTTGTCAAAAATTCAGTTATGTTTTTTAACACAAACTAATTCACCAAAAAAATACTCTAGGTTTTATACTTGAGGGTTGAATACAGCCTTATCTGATGCATAAAAGTTAAATTTGTTCATTCAGATAAATATTAAGCTTACTGCACCTGTAAATGTAGTACATGCTTACAACTATGAATAAACAATAGATAATATTAAATAAAAATCAGGTTTTAAATAGGTTGTATACTTAAATTTATTTTTTATTTATTACATAAAATACCTAATTTACAATATAATAATAGTAGGTATAATTTAAATGATTAAAATTATGGGTTTTCAATAATTTATATACATGAATATGTATTCGTGTTTATATTGTACTATAAACAAATAACAAATTCATCCATTAGATATAATTTTTTTTTTAAATGTTTAACTAAATACTTTTAATAGTGATAAATGCATAGATATAGGCTCATTTTTAAGTTTAGGTACAGAAAAGAACCTTAAAAAATTCAATGGTTAAATATGTAAATTATGAATAAGTTTACAATAATGACGACACATCCCAAATTTTTATAACTCTATCTTGACCAACTGTCACGACACATTTTCGTTGAAGATCCATTGTAATTGACATTACGCTGTGCTTAGTATCATGGAATGTTGCAAGCGGTGTATGACTAAAAATAAATATATTTGTTAAAATAGATAATAAAAAAAAAAAAAAAATCATCTTACTCTATGTTACTGCTGCAGAATTTACAGACTCTTACAGGAAGCTCAAATCCCATAAATGGTATTGTTGATTGTTCTTGGCTACATTTATCACAAAGAGCACGGCCACATGCTCTACAATGATGTTGCCTTGAACCAAATTGTTTGCGTTCAAATATTCCAGAGATATTCCACAAAAATGGTCGGCTACAAGATTCACAGTTATCTGATTCAGCCCAAGCAGGTGTCTACATAAGAATTAAAAAAAAAAAATGAATTAAATAAATAAAATAAAACATAAAAACATTTATATCACATTACTTTATGACAAAACTATATGCAACTAATTTTAAAATGAACATAACCCTACATTACATTTTTTTAATATATTGTTTAATTCTTAATATATTCAATACATATAATTAAATTACGAAATGTATCATTTCAAAACTAAAACTATATGTAAAAAAAAAAGCATCAATTGCTAATTGATAATTACAGTATTATGATAGCGGTAGATGGTAAAAACAATAATATTACTTAATAGAATTAAAGTTTCATAGTATACAAATACATAATATCGAATAAAAAAAATATTGTTTTTATTTAAAAATAAAAATCCAAATTTAAAAATGTAAATTAACTTTAAAAACTTACCTCTTTTCTTTCTGCGTTTAAATCCCAAAATACCAAGACAGAATCTTCGCCAGCAGATATTAATTGGTTTTTAGATGATACAAATGCCAAAGATGTTACTCGATTACTAAGAAAAATATATTAGGTTATTTTTTTTTATTTTACTTGCGACTATCATTACACATTATTTCAATTAATGACAACTTAAAATTATAATTAGATATTAAAAATACATACGTATGACCATGAAGTTCATAAGCAGTGCCATGACCTCCACCTATATCCCAAATTATAATCAAACGATCGTGTCCAGCTGAAAACAAACGCCTTGTTGATGAATCCCAAATGAGCATTTCAATACATGCAGTATGGCCAGTCAATGTAGTCACAACTTGTAAACCATCTGCCTTTATATTAAGCATTGTAATATTTCCTGAGTAATCTCCAACAAAAGCATGAGCTGATTCAGCATCATATCTAATTTTAGGCAATGTAAATCAAATTTACTAATATTCTGTACAGTATACAATATAGGCATTAAGATTATTACAATTATTTATATATAAATATATATGATGCAATCATAATTATATTTATGTAACATAAATATTAGCAAATTATTAAACATAATAATGTTAACATGAATAATAACAGAATTATTTTATTTATATAACTATTGAATAAATTCTTATTATAAATGATAAATTTTAATTTAAAGGATACTCCAAAGATGTACACCATGCTGCACACACAAAAGGAGGACCAATTGGATTGCCATTTTTAGCATTATGATATTGAAATCTTTTGTCACGTGATGTACTTAGAATCCATTGTTCCACAGTACCATCTATGGCTACCTCAGTCCAGATCATTCCAGTTATACGACCATAATGAGCTAAAATGTCACCAACAGGCTCCATGCGATTAAAATCCTCTTCTAATATAAATTCCTGACAAAATAAAATATTATTTTAAAATAATTTTTTGCTAATAATCAATAGAAAAGAAATAATAATATTACAAATTAAATTTTACAGTGAAAACAATAAATGTATAAAGATAAAAATTATCAAATTTAACACCAAAAGAAAATAATTTATAACAATTTAACTAACCAATGCAATAAAAAATGTGTGATAAATAAACTATTGTAATAATAATCATAATATTACACTTACTGATATGGTTCCATTTTCTTGTCCAACAAATAATTGTCTTGATATTGGTCGATAAAATAAATCGACAGCAGGTGATGGCAAATAATTACATATACTTGGCCAATATTGACCTGAATCTCTTTTTAACCATACTCTAACAGATCTGAAAATATTGATAACATAATTGATTGACCAAATTGAATTAACATTTATTTGAATATTATAAGTATATTAATTTTCTAAAGGATATCTACCATAATTTTTTTATTTAATTATTATTATTATTAATGTCTACCTAATCATCCTAATCTAGTGATATTAAATTAAAAAAAAAAAAAATTAACAGAAATTTTTATTATATGGATATACTTTAAAACAACCAATAGGAAAATCAAAATTAATTGTAAACATCATATTTATAGTGATGGAGAAGGAAAGAGAGGTAGATTATGTTAACTAAAGTTTATAAGAAATCATTATCAGCACATGGATAAATAAACTTTCATTTACATTATACTGAAAATACCAAACAAGCAATAATATTTAAATTAATCGCAATGATAATTTTAAATACAAATAAAATTATATTATCTTATACTATTAAATTACAATCCATTACATTTTAATTATATTATATATTAATTGCTAAGATTATTTAAAGACATAGGTATATTTTGAGTTGAAATATTATTTGTCTGAAATCTAAAATTGATGTTAAAAAAGCAATGCTTTTTTTAAGAAACTTTTTATTAATCAAAGTAATCTTAGTCATATAAAAATAGAAATTCACAGAATCCTTTAATATTTTATAACTTATTAAATATGAAAATACGAAAAATAAATAAGTACAAATAATTATGTATACAGAACATACTAACATTTATTTACAGTAATGATTAGAATTGCAAACATAATATGTTTTATTTTTTATATTTTTATATAAAATGTCCATATTTTTTCTTAAGAGTTGACCTTACTTTTTCAAAATCAAAAACAAATATTTTGATTTTAAAATTAATTATTTAAATACAATACCTTATGTGTATAGTGATTTAATTTATTATAATAACATTTTATTTACTTGAGAAAAAAACAAATAATCAAAAATTTTATAAATAATTTTTATTCAAAATTAATGAAATAAATAGTAACACATTACTTATAGTACCTATCTTAGTGTAAACTTTGTTGCCTAGGGACAATATTCATTATCATACTTATAACTATTTTAAACTAATTACTTTTTAATTTTTCATGAAAATGTACCTAAACAATATAGGTTATAGACTGACTGTCTAAATAATATACATTTTAAGAGGATATCAGAGTATTATACTTTTCTTTCTAACCCACATAAAACATGAAAAATTTGTGTTTAACAAACGATCATTATTATTATTAGTTTTTAAATTGAAGTGAATTAACCTATTCTCAAATTTAAAGTTTGTAACATTATTATATAGTTGTATTCCTTTTAACGAAAAAATAAAATAAAAACATATTACTGTGTTTACTATGTCAGATAAAATATTAAATTATGAACTGAAGATAACTTTATCATTATAAGTTATAATATATTCTACAAATAGTTAATTTTTATAAGACATATCTATAATATGTAATATATTAATCTACACTTTAAAGAAAAAATTGAAAATGTATAGGTATCTAAATCATTTAAAAATGGATCGCTCAAGAAGTTATAACCGACGTATACTAACAAAACATGTATCGGACTCTGACTTAGATGTGAACAGATACATAACTACTACATATCAAATTTTTTATTTTCAAAATGTTAACTTATAACTTTTCAATAAACCACTTATTCATTGGTAAGTATAATATTTAGTGTACTATCAAATAAAATCTCAACTAAACTTATTTAAAATAATATATTACCGATCACTTGAAACACTAATGACTCCGTCAGTTTCAGGAATAATTATGGCTTTGTTTACATTGTCACTGCACCCTTCAAGTTTCGCCAATAATACAGGCTTGCGGTTTGAATTAAATTTATCGTTGCCAGAGCTTGGCCCAGGTTTGATTTGAGCTGCCATTTTTCAATATCCCGGTGTTTAAAAATGTGATTTAATCTAGATAAAAACAATTACTGAACCGCACTTATTAAGTGATGAAAATCCTTACTATGTTAAGATACACACATTTACAAACTAATAAAATGAAAATAAATACTCGATAAATGAGTTGTCTTAATATTTTTAACGCACACAAAATCAAAGAATTACAACAGATTATTGTTTCATATCCTTATCAACATAGAATGATCCAATCATTTTTTACTTATCAATTATTATATCGTTCTTACAAACGTTCATACAGAGTGATTTTATTCTTGTTAATAATGTGAATACGGTAATTATTTTCCAGACATTAAACGATTGACAATTTCAATCTATTTTCTAACAAGTAACATTTAGTTTTTAAATTTTTAAGACATAATATTATACTGTTCGAATTTAAAAATTAATAAAAATCTCTCATAGTATGCTGACTTATGATAAGAAATAATCACTCTGTAAACAGTTACATTTCAACAATCGAAGGGGGCGGCTTCGAGTACAGCTAAGCTGGGTTCGGCTATCTCTTTTAATTCTCAGTGCTTTATTTATTGTCGTAGTTCATCAAAATATTTACTTCACCAACTTTGGTCAAACATAATATCACGTATTTGTAGTTATTAGTACGTAGTACGTATTATCATAATTATGATATTTAAATACGATTATTAACGCTATATTGGTACTTACGTGCTATCCGAGACGCATAAATAATAACCCAACGGCGTTCCATACGAAAATTAACTGGACTACCGAGTTACGTACTCAATAGTCATGCCATATGATTATTGCTTAACTACCAGTTTATTCGATAAGAAAATTGATTTAATAAAAATTGTATACTATTTACTACAGTGATTCGAAAAATCATTCTTCATTAAATATAAAAAATACTTTTATATAAATTTACCTTTATACTTGGGTAGAACTTACCGAGTTATTCTTGATGAATCGAGCTATATTTTGATAATTTTAAGTTAATTTTTTAGTGAATTTTGGGCTGATAAAATTTTTAACACATTAATACTTACCCGTCTTACCTTATATGGTACTTCCTACCTATGTTGTAAAGAGATAAATTGGAATCGTTAAAACTGTTATTAAGACAAATATTAAAGCATAAGGTATATTTGTGTGAAGATTAATACTTTAATTGATCGTCAGTAACTTATTACTATATTAAATAGCTTGTTTTTTAAATAATCAGAAATTATTCTTTTATTAGCCAATGTACCACCATAGATTAGAGCATAAATTTATATATATCTTAATTTGTGCTTTACAGTATCTCTCTTTACTGTAAATCTACAGTGATTTAATTATTAATGAGAATATCAATTAGATTGACATGAAAAATAGATACCTAGGAATCTAGGATACTTGTAAGTAGTAACTTTAATTTTACAACACAAGTAAGAATTATACAGATAAAAAACAATTATTACCAAGCATGTTAATTATAATAAACTTATTTTATTAAAAAAAAAATATTTAACTCATATGATGTCTATATTGTAAAGAACATACTTTTATTAGAATAAAAAAAATTCTGAATATTTATATTAAACCTATATGGCAGCAGCTACTGAGTTATACAATGTAATTATAAGCAATATGTCACAAATTGTTTAAGTGTATTAAACATGTTTTTATTGAAATTACATTACTGATTTTAATATAGATAAAAAAAGTGTATACAATTATACTGTATAATGTTATACTATTTGTATGTACATACTCTTTCACCTAACATCAAGCAAAAAAAAAAAAACCATAATTTTTATATAAATAAGTGACATTTGAATCTGTTTAAGAAACTTTCAAATAAGTCTTTATATTTTATATGATATAATAATCAAATAATCAACATATCTAATAAATAATGATGATATATTTTATAAATAGACAAAAGCCAAAAATAAATTAACACTCATACCTTATAATTAGGACTCGTATTTTATAACAAAATAAATCCTTAAAAAAAGCATTATAAGTAACCAAAAAAGCTAAAAAAAAGCACTTATTAAATTTTATGCTAAAAAAACAAATTTAAATTACATGTAAAATAAAATATTAAAAGAGGAATTTACGACTATATATTTAGTCAAGTTACTTTCATTATAACTCATCTTATTTGGTGCTAATAACAATTATAAAGAAATTATTTAGAACACTATACCTCGCTGATTGATATTTACCGGTCAACTAAAATATTAGAATGTGTTACAAATATACGTAGATAATAATTCAAATATGTAATTTTAAAACTATACAATTTCAGCATAATAACAAGTTATTTTATCAGTGTCATCCATTTATTACTGGTTTTTTCACGAGTTTTATAATTTCTTGCAATAATATAGTATTTTTAGTCACATAACTTATAAGTTAAATTTTCAAATAAAATAAGTAAAAATTAAGAAAAAAGAAGTAAATAGGGGAAAAAATAATAAAAAGCAAAATAAAGTTTACTTCATTGAAATCAGAACGATTCAAAAAGTTATTTATATATAACAATTATTTTTCGTTACACTCCTCTCAAAAGAAGTATTTGCTACAAAATCTAAGCCCTACTTATAATTAATGTAATATTCTTGATAGATCACACATGAGACACCAAATCTTATACTTGTTTATATACTGAGAATACAATTTAAAATAATAACCGATCATACCAACATCATTAGATTTTATTTTTTATTTTTACTAAATAACTATTTTAAGAACTACTTCCATTAAGTAGTAAGATTAAAAAATGTATATTGTATTAGTAATAGAATTCTAATTAAATTGGATGTAGTGTGTACAAATATAAGTATAAAAAACATGTTACTATACTCAAAAAAAATAAAAAGTAAAATAGGATTAAATGTGAAAATTATGGTATCTATAAATTTATTATCAATCTTAATTAATTTTATTAAATTTATGAACTCCAATAGTCATTAAATATTTCCAAGCTTACTTTAAATAGACATTTTTATGCCTAATACTATTTCCAATTTATTAAAACCAAAAAGTATATTATAAATTAAAAAAAAACTACAAAGTATTAAAACTTTTCTGTTTTGAAATAAAATATATACAGTAAAAATTACATCAGTCACTAAAATTAACACTAAATGAAAAGCAAATAAACATAAGATTCAAAATATCCCTTAGTAACTAACAAATAGTTTAATCATAAAATAAAGTGGATGAATTATATTTTATATTTTTCAACACTAAGGTAAATATATTTTTGCTAACTGTTTCTTTAAACTAGAGGATTTGATAAAAAATATTAATCAAAACCAAAACAGAATTTATATTGAAAACCAATTCAATTAACAAACTCAAAATGTAGTTATTAAAATATCTATGTTATACAGATACAAAGTTTTAATTATAACTCATTAAATTTCATTAGGATAAGACTCCAAATAAATTAATATTTTTCATCAATCAAAAGGCATTATACTATAAGTCTAAAAACTATTATGCACATTTATTTTTGCGAACATTTTATTTAGGTAAACATGTTTAGGAATGAAATACGTTTCTTCCCATTTCTTTAATTTTATCTCTTGATGTAACTAAACTGAATGCTGTAGCAAGACTGAATCCAATCAAGCCCCCAATGCCACACCTCCTAAGACCACCTGAAAAATTGAATATAAATTTACATTTAATAGTTATGAAATAATAAATAATAAAATATAAGTAAATATGTTTTTTTTATACAAAGATACATAAGTAGGTTAAAGATTAATAGAAAATTAATTATGACCCACTAAATAGTAAATTAAATTTATAGCTGATTTATAATCATAAGTTATGGATATATGAATTCACTTAATAAAAATAATTTTGCATTTAATTTTTTAAATACTTAATTCATATGAAACAGTAACAGTTGAAAATTATTAGGATTACATATATATTTTAGTTAAAGAATATACAAATTATCATTTTTTATTTCTAATTCAAGTAATTTAATTTCTAAAAAGAAAATGTTTTAAATTAATCTTCTTACTTATAAACAGTGGTGTATAGGTAAATAAATTTATGAGTATACGCACCAAAAAATAATTGAATAGGTTAAATTGAATCGCTTTGCTCAAAATACCTTGATGTTTATAATAATATTTAATAAACTTTATTTTTTATTATATTTACTCTTCACATATACATGTATCAATGTGAATAACTTTTAACTGGCATACTTTTAAAATTTAATTTTGATCATTTATTTTTTATTTTTTTATTTACTTTATCTAACAAATATTTGCATAGTTGTTAACTTTTTTTAAGTTCAATCAAAATTGCAATTTTAGTGATAAACAGGATGTAAACAAGTAGATTTAGTTTGAAAGTAACTACTATTCTGAAAGTACAAAATTCAGTGAGATATCTGCTATGGACACATATATTATAAAATTTCATAATATTGATGCTAATATTTAATATTTTTACTGAAGTACTAAACAATATACATGTTCGGCAGTTTCCGAATTCAAAACTTCATCTGAGGTCAAGACTATTTTTGGACAGTGTATAGTGTACATAATAAGATAATATTGGTATATTATTATTATTTATTTTATACTGTGATATTAATTATGACTAGGAGTTTGTGCATACCCATAGTATATGAATTTTTAGTTGGCGTATACCCATAATGGACAAATTTTCTTAAAGGTATACCCATAAATCCAAAAATAAAGATCCGGGTACACGTCATTATCCACATATTATACTCTCCAATATACCACTGCCTCTAAAGATTCACTAATAAACTTGTATGAAATAACTTGACTGATTTATTAGAAAATAAATTGTTTTTTTTATTGAAATGTTTTGTTAAAATTTCTCAAATGAAAAAAATTATAACTTAATATTTATTTAACCACTAACTTGTAGCTTTGTATAAAAGTCCAGTGCTTGTTCCTGCTACAATAGTATTAAGCTCGTCTTCACATCCCCGGGTCTTTTCTAATATGATACCAAAGATACTATAGTATACAGATAATGTTCCAAACGTATTAGACAAACGTGCTCCATTTTTAAAAACACTATTTAAGATCCTGAAAATTTATATTACAATATTACTTCTTAAGGTTAATCAATAAAACACTATAAAGCATAACACTAATAAATATTACTGTGTTCTATTATATGTGCTGGTTTGATTTTCCATTGATGTCATTTTTATACCACTGTATATTCCACGTATACCACCAATTGTAGCACCAATTAAACATGATGTACCAATTTCTGTAAATGACAATTCAAAACGCCCACGTTGCTTGGAACCAGCTCCTTCCAAAAATATATATTCTGGCTGAGATGACTGAGGTAAAAGTTGAGGGTCATAATTTAAATATGGAGACGGAACTGATGGAAAACTGTTTAACATTCCTCTATTGGCTAATTAAAAAATAATAGAAAAAAGTGTAATTAATAATTTAATTATTATTAGAGAAAGGACTTTCATGCATTTGCATATTTTTTCTGGTTTACTTTTTCATATGCAGAGTAAGTACACAAAACATTTCACAACGTTTGTGACCAAAATCTCAAAAATTTTAGTGCATATTTTTGCATATTTTGACATTATTGGGTTATTGGATATATTTTTTTTATTATAAAAGCATATTTTTAGTTTGTAGTGCATAATTGAATGTTTTTCAAAAATCATGTTTTCAGTGAATATTTTTCATGATTAAGAACAAAAATTATTATATTTAACTGTTTCTATATTCTCACTAAGACGAAAGAAGCTCATTTTATCATAGTTGCAAATTTTTAGATTAGATTATAATAAAGTGATATCAAATTCAGTTAAAACTTATAGAAAGATAATATAAAGTTATTAAAATTAAATATTTAAAGAAAAAATATAATTTTTAGAATTGTAAATTAATTTTTTTTGAGGACATAATATTTAACTGCATACTTTAAATTTTTTGATGCATAAGTGCATATTTTTAAATGCATTTTTGATGATTTTTTAGTGCATGAAAGTCTTTGCTCTAATTATTATTATTATAGAAAATATGAAAAAGATATATTTAAGTAGGTAGTAAAGTTTTAGTTATAATCGAAAATTATTATAAATAAATATGTGACCTTTTTATTTTTAAAAGCACGCTATATATTTACTTGTTGATTTTATATTATATATAACTTAGCAAATGTACATTTGTAAAACCAACATTAAATTCTTGGTAGATATTAGAGATAATTTATATTATTGATAAGAATGTTTTTATTCGTCTGATATTAAATCAGTTTAAATATTGAACTACAGATTGTTATAGACATTAAAGTAATCCTACAAAATATAGTACCTAATTTTGTTGAGCAAAAACACCGAAAACTGATAGTCAAATATAATATACATTACAAAACTATAAAACATAACACATAAGTAAAAAAAACACATGTATAGATATATATATTTTAGTCAACCTAAATAATCTTATACAAAGTACTAATTATTGATGGAAGTAGTTTTATAGAGGAAAAAATCATAGGTAGATTAGAAAAAAATTAGTTTTATGATGTATTGAAAATAAAATTAAACAAAATACCTTTATCGTCGCCCTCTAAACTGAACATCTTCGTTTCTGAAGGTGGTAAATGTAACTGTTCGTAAATATCTGATTCTTTAATAATAAAGGTTAGGTTGACGAGGTCGTCTTTTTTCTGCAGCCGTAGAACTGTATAACGAAAAATATACTATAGAAGTTAACAATTTAATATGATAAGACAGGAACGGATAAGTGATTATGTTGGTCTATGTGTTAAACGCAAAAAGTTGTGAGCATTAATCACGCATCAAGGTCTATAAATTAAACTTTTTGTTCATCAATGGTAAAACATACAGCAATGTAAACTGAATGTATCTACAAGCCAACTTATAGAAAACTAATTAAAACCTTAATAAATTGTACGAATGTATCACAGCTAAATTAATTAATATTAAATAATAAGAAATTGAGAGTTAACTCACTTGGATAAATTCAAGGCTAACTGAATGATGATGAAAAATGAAAATCGAATCTGTATTTTTTGGTTATGTTTTATCAATACAAATTAAAATACGGAAAACTGTAGATAACGTATGGTTTTTTACAGTACTGCAAAATAGGCAACATCGACTAATGCCTGGCTGTATGACGTATTGTCGTGCGTGATAAAGGCTTGTTTGGAGGTCATAGCTTATCATTAATTCCTCCATAGGTTATGATATTGCTAAAGAAACAGAATAAATTAAATAATTTCACAATAGGTATAACTCGAACTTCGAAGCATGTCTCTTTTTCAATTATTCGGCTTTTGGCCAGTTCAGTTTGGTTAATTTAGTTAGCTTCAATATTTCAATATTATGTAGTATGCATTATGCATCGAGTTAGATAAGAATATATTATTTAATGTAATACATTTTTATTGTATTATTATTTAGGATCTCAATGTATTTTTTATGAAGACACACATATAAAAATATTATCATTTGTCAATATTAGGTACTTAGTAAGTATTTTTTTAAATAACAAGTAATACCTACTTAACAAATACTTATTTGATAATATATAATATTAGTATTCGAGGAATAGGTACCTGAAACACGTATATGCCATATGGGTACTTATTCGAGTACTTATACCGCATGCTTGTTAGTAAATATAAAGTATATTTACCTATGCCGATTTTACAAGAAATTTTTTTTTCTTGTACATGTAATGATGTAACCACCTTCTGGAACAGAAAAAATCTTCAATTTTAAATAAGTTGTATTAAACTTTATAAAATATTTGGTAGGAAATTATATCTAGTTGGTTCTTTTACAGGAAATCAAAAGTAAAAAATTTTCTGTACCTATCTACTCTTAAAAAGTAGAAGAATTTTTGTACAAAACTAGATTTGAACAAGATCGATTTTTTTTTTTATGTGATATAAAATTAGAGAAAAAGTAGATATAATATTTTTATAATTGCATTTTATGAAAATTTTAAAGTTCTTAAGCTCTATTTTCATTATTTATTATTTTTAAGTCTTTTTTTCGATTTAAGAATAATTTTTAATCATTAAAAATCTTTGAAGGTTTGTAAAATTGTAAATGTAGACAAGGTTCCTTTTATAAGTTGTTCTTCACAGCAATTAAAAAGTATTAAAACGTAGATTCTGACTTCTGAGCAGAGCTTTTTTATATTGATTTTACTGCCTTTAAATTTTAATGTGTTTTAGTTTTTTTGTATGTGTACTGTGTACACGATTTCTAGAAGAAAAAATGCATATATTTTCAACTTTGAAGGTTGTTTCTAGTAGTAAATTAGATATAGTTATTGTAGTATTATTACTTTAGGGAGGTCAAATGGAAAATATTCACTATTTTTCATGATTTTTTACGCAAAATCAGTATTTGACAAAATTAATTTTATTTATTGTTTTGATTCAAAAATAGTCTTAACATTTACTATGTTATATTAAGACATAGTTTTAAAATATTTTTGCTCTTTTGTACTATTTATAGATATCTTTTACGAGCGATTAAATATCAAATATAGACATTAAATATTAATGTCAGAAATTTGAAAAATTCCACTTTTACTAAAATTATATTTATAGAATGAAATATAGTTCAATTTAGTAAAACTAATTTTAAGCATTTTATAGGCATTAGAAATTTTTAGTTTTATTTAAAAAAAAAAAAGTATTAGGTAATCAAAATGTTTAAGCTCAGTCAAATAACTTAAATTTATTACGAAATTTCACAAAAGCTGTTATTACTGCAATTTAAATATGTAAATATTTTTGTAAGCTTTAGAATTTTAAATGTTGACAAGATCGTAAAAATCTTGAATAATTATTTACAAATTATTTTACAGTTAAAATTGTATAAAAATTTAAATTTTAATAATGAAGACTTGATAATTTAATACAAGGTTACATAATATGGTTTAGTTAATATTATCCGATTCCCAGTTATTGAATAAATAAATATAATTAAAACTAATTACAAAATTAATGATATTGGATATGATATTGTATCCTATAACTATTTTACATCATAATACAATGAAAAGTATAATTTTAAAAGAATACTTTTTTTTAAAGTCAAGATAGGTATTTCTACCTCGTAAGTTGAAAAGTAAGTATACTCACTTACATCTTATAATTGTTTCGTAAGATTAAAAAATATCATATTATCATTATTATTTCATAATTATAATTACTTAAATGTCTAACCGTCTAAATCTATACCAAATTCGGGATTATTCAATTATAGTTGGCATAATCATAATAAAGTTAACAATTAACTATATTATATATTTGTTTAAACTACAAAAACATGGAAAAAATGAATCTATTTTATTTTCTAGTTGGAGATAATTGTTTTTACTTTTTCCTATGAATAACAACCAATGTAGAAAATGTCATGCATGAACAATGATTAATGAATACCTATTATGTTTTTCTACCTATTGTAGATTACCAGTTATTTTGAAAAACATGATTATAATATTTATTATGAATTTATTGTCATTTTATGTTCTATTAATTCTATAGCGTTAATTGGTATAGAGTATAGACTATATAAGTACCTACCATTTGAAATTTCACGCAACGCTTAGTCCTATATATGATATATCTATACCTATTACGAGTATTACGAGTGGTACGAATGACGATAATTAGTGTCTGATGATTGATGAACGTATCATTATATCAATAAATTAATAATCAAAACAATTAAAAATTTAAAGATAAATAAGAAAATCTAAAACTTCATTTTATAATTCATATATCTTGAAAAACACTGTATACATTCGTGTAATACTATATAAATACTGATTATAGCAATTATAGGTACTAGTTTAAAATTGTAAACATTTGTAAATTATAAAAATCAATTACAATAATTTGTACCTAGTGATAAATTTAAAACATTTTATAATTATTCATATCATAAAAAACACAATACCTATTTATTGTAATTATTATAAATACAGTAATTAAATTAATTTGAACACTAGTAAATTGTAATAAAATAAATTATAATAATACTGATCGATTTAATAGTTGATAATTTAATTTTTTTTTTTAACATGTAATGATATGCTTGCACACATCATTGTATATTACATAATCATAAAATTCAAACAAATAAATTAACGGTCAAGTTGTCGCACGCAGATTAAAACCCTATAAACATCCTTTCACCACTGAAGAAAGAAACTACTTATATTATATGGTCACAAAGGGATTGACACATAATTTGTGGCAATGTGCTGCAAAGCGTGTGACCTAGTTTTGTGTGCCACCAGAGATGGTCCAATGAGGGTTTCTGTTGCCTAGGAGAAATCCTATTTCTTTAGAAAACGTGGAGACCTTTGATGGTGCCGCCTGCGACTTTGGCTGGCTTGACCAGGTCGTCTTCTCTCATCGAGTGCATGAACACCAGTTAAGCTAACGAGTGCATGAGCACCAACTAAGCCATCAGTGCAGGCGCACCAGACAAGCGAGCAGGAGTTCTACCCAAAACCACCCCACACGGCATACACACAAGATTCTGTGAGCGACAGCTAGACTTCTTTTTTATAAGTTAAATCAGAGTTGTTTTTCTTATTTAAATTTAAGTTTTTCTTAAGTCATATCGTAATTTGTGTCACTTTATATCTTTCTCTGAGGGATGTACTATACCTAAGTATTCACTGCAGCGAATTATAGGTAAGGTGCAATGTGCATGTCTAAAATACTTCTTGTTAGTACAGGTTCTTTTACTATCTAATTTACGTAACGGTGTGCTTGATTACATTCTCGAATACAAGACCTCGAGAACCCTCCGGAATCGATGTAATGTATATCGTGCAAGACTTATAGTATAATAATAATAATTTTGAATATTTCATAATTCAATAAAAATTAAATGATTAATTTGTAGACAATACAAAGAATATAACTATATTATACAATATTTTTTTAAATAATTATTCCTACTTATGTACTATACTGGCTACTATCTTTTTTTTTTTCATAATAGTTATTATTTATCTCCAATGCGTTCAAAATTGTTAAATTTTAATTATTGCCTGTTGGTGAAATCAATGGTTTAACGTTATAAAATATTATATGTTTCGTTGTAGAATATTTTTTACATTTTTAAACCTATTATATACCTACTACTGTATTATACTATATTAATATTATATTACTATATTAGTAACTAGTATACTTACTTCATCGATAATGATGAAAATTATGTTATTGGTATTTACTATTTACTATTTATTATAAGTATAACATTAATTTATTCTAACAAAAATGTATTCTATCACTTACTTTATTACTTAGTGTATAGTGTACTAGTGTACATAAGAACTAATTTTATAGGTAGGTATATTAAATTAATTATCAACCCATTTTCTAATTTTTTTTTTATTAAAAATGAACTCTTTCTATAACCTTTTTAGTCTTACTTTATTTAAGCCATCAGAGATATGAAATACAATATGCTTACCCATATTTTCTTAATGATGATATTTTCAATAATAAGTTTCTTGTTTTTAAAAGGTTATAATAATTAAATTAAGTTTTTCTTATACATTTTTACTGCATCACTGTAAACTGTAAAGCTATACGTTCCATTTTAAAATTTGTCTTTTTTAAATTATTTGTGCACCTGTCTTAGGAACATTTAACAAAACTTCACCAAGAGGCAAGAGCTTATACCTATATTATCATTTTTTAAACATAATACAATTTTTATAAGTTTTAATAAAACATTTAAGATTAAGTAAAAATTCTTAAAAGTTTAATAAAATGTTTCTAATAAGTTGTTGTTCATTTACCAATTAATAAATATCAAAAATGTATAGTTGTAATGGTTTTTTTTATAAACATACTAAGTTAAAATCTTATCATAATTCGTTTAAATCTAGAAGATGTATACATTATTTCGTAGTTAAAAGTGCAAACAATTTTTAAGAT